TTCTGCTTTACAAAATATACATAAGTAAATATATAGATACATTTTTAATATCAATGTTTAATGTTCAAAGCTGTATTAAATTCCTGTTGAATAGCCGCTTCTATATAATATTACTGAACTTTATTGTGCCACACCCCATCCCGTTTCAAGACGGTTTAAATTATGTAGTTATATCACGCACAACTTCAGCTGATTTTTACCACCCTCGTTGTAGCTGTATATAAAATTAATTTTGCGCCAAGCCAAATGGAACTTGCCGTGAATACTTAAAAATCAGATTACTTTTTATTGATATGAGCAATCGGTTTGCTTAACAAGAAAGCTCGTCATGTGGGAGGAACAGCTCGTACCAGTAATTGCAATTGCATTACTCTTAAGAGCTCTTGTGTAAGGAATAATAAAGCCTTTCAGAAAATTTAAATTTTAAGACATTCCACTTGCGATTCATATGGCAATTCAGTTGGACTAAATTATTACTTGTATGAATAATGTTTTACCTGTTTAGATTTATTTTATAAAAATCAAATTTAAAATAATTTTACACTTGAAAGTTCTTCTAAAAGTTTTAATAAATGAAATGTAGATCCAAACAAAATATTATATTCATAAATATGAATATTTTACAAAAAATACTCGAATATCTAAAATTAATTACTTTAACAGCTCTGCTGTTAATTAATTTTTGTCAAATGTACAAAAATATATGTTCTTAATCAGATCACCGAGCTAGTCGATAGTCTATTCAGTTTCTATTAGTAAGTTGTTCAATAGATTTATTATGCTTCCGGCTAATGGTACATAGCTTCGCGTTAAAGCAATAAAGATATTTAATATACACATTTGGTGGAACTGGAAAAGTAAAGAGTAGACTCCAACAACTGTGCCTTACCACCGACAATAATACAAAGTGGAAAAACAAGCGAAACAGATACAAAAAATGTATTTACAAATATATATATCTACCACGAGATTGAGCTCTTTTGGTCCACCCTAATGTGCTGGTAAATACATCGTGTGCAGACCGTCTGTGTGACCAGGGGGAATACCCATTAATAGGTAACTGTTGAGTAAATTTAACGCAGAGTTTTATGTACTAGTGATATTATGCTGACACCCTAAATTATATACATTCATGATACAGATACGCACACCAATAGATTTAGCTCTTTTCATCCTGCTATCTTTCATTCTATAATAGCTATTGACATGACATGGCATGACATCTTATGGGCATTAAAGAACCTGATAGTATTACTCTAGTATTATTATTTTTTTTCAAATTTGATGAGTTTTGTATTTATTGGATACATAAATCTAAAGGCTGGATGTGAGCATTGACAGTATTCAAATGCATCTCGAATTGACGATAAATGCGTCCGTCTCAGCTCAGCCAAGTGTATTTACTTTATGTAATCTACCACGTTACATGATTTCTCAGTTTCAATGGGTTCAAGGTATAACAAAATGTATTTCTCAAATCAGAATAAAAATTGCAAATTGAAAGTGAATAGCTTAAAATGTGAACTTTAATTTCGGTTTTTTTTTTTCACAATTAAATCCAAATCAGGTATCTAATAGATTCGCATGTACAAGGAACATTGAACATATTTATATGTACAAATGTGTGCATCTGGGACCTAAGTTATATTAGGATATCTCTGCTCACATATGTATACCACACAAGTTTATAAATGTCGGCAATGGTATCTCATAGTGCGTCACTCTCGATTGGCTTCGATGGCTTCTTTCACACATAAATTCATTTCAAGATACTCATAAATTATGCCCGTTCGGCATTATGAGTGGCAAACGTTAACGCGACAGAGGCGTAAATTTATAATGAGATAAGTAGCCCAGTAAATTCGTGGCAGGATAATGGCCGCAGGATTATGGCCTGTACTTGTTGTTGCTTGTTTGCCTTACGGATTATCGCCTGTACTTGTTGTTGTTTATTTGCCCTACGGCTGCAAAGCTGTAAATCTACATAAATTTTTATTAAACAACAACAAAAAGTCCTTAACAGTGGCGCACTTGATACAAAGTCAACAAATCAGATAAACAATGCACTGCCACCGGCTAAGCGCATTAAATGTTTGCAAGTGTCTAAACATAATTGCCCAATTAGTAGACACGTGTTCTTGCCGATATCAGAGTAAACTATGGCCTAAAGCAAAAAGCACATACATATGTCTATTTTCGTGTTTAAAAAAACGTAAAGGCAAAGATGTATGTTTATTTAAGGAACATGTTCTGTCATAAGGTCCGATGTATCAGCTTCTTTGATAGCAGAAACTCCAGGAGAAAGTACAACTGATGGCTAGTCTCTAGTCGAGACTGCCCGACTACGAGATCCTCTGAGACCTTCGAGCACCTGAACACACACACAGACATACGCACGCACCCAAAAACACGCATTGGCTTAATTGATTAATAACTTTTCTTGTGGGTGGACTATCTTCATGAAACTCTCAGATTATAAATATAACATATGTAGATGTGCATGTTTTTGCCGAAGCATATTTGAAATACGTCTTTTACAAACTTAAGGGTGAGGAGATGAATATAGGGGAAGGGGTAAGTTTTGACAAAAAACGAGATTCTATAAAGTTCATATGAATCTACAATAAAAAGGTTGTGAATCTAGCCTTAAAGATGTAGCAGATATAAATTTATTACTAATTGTCGATAATGTTTTTAATCGATAMCAAAAGAACGGTCGATATGCACGTGGTATACTCAAACCTAGAAAAAAAAATTCTAGTCTCTAGCTCTTATATATTCTGAGATCAACGCGATCAACTCAGCTCGTCACCCTGATCAAGAATCTACCACGCCTCCTTCTGCCTGTTACATACTTTTAACAAAACCATTATATCCTGATTTCCAGGAGGAGGAGGTGATATTTCGACAGGAATTCATGTGCGGGGATAGCACTTTCGATACTGACACAGTTGCTAACAGAAAATTGATGCATATTTGCATTGCAATTGTGATTATTAGAATATGCATAGAAAATGCATGCATGTTCGAATGTAAAGAAAAAATTATTTAAAATGCTCAGCAGAGCTTGCCATGTTTGTTTACCAATTATAAATAATTGCACACTCATTCATAATAATGCTATATTTTAAGCTAACCTTCAATTTTGAGAACTTAGCAACATTGGAGTCGGTATCTGATATATAGCAAAAATCAATACACAAGTTAACATACAATTATGAGATGTGCTAGAAATAAATTAGAGATCTGTTTTAGAAAATAATTTAATATTTAGATACTCCTCGCGTTTTTTCCCCTACACACATTCAAATTAACAAAAAGAGTCTTCTGACTCAAATGTAATGGTTTAGTTCTAGTGCAAATAACTAATCTGATACGTTCCGGCCGTGTCCGACAAGATGTCAAGCAAATTTATTTTGTGAAATCGATACATTACGGATAAGCATATCTATTTTAATTCGTTGCAATCACGCTTTCAAAAAGGGTATAAAATGGAAGGCCCAAGTCCAATTGATATCTTCGTTTTAAAGGAAGCTACAATCAACATGAAACTGGTAAAAAAGCGAATTTGCTTGCCCACTCAGAAGTTACAATCTTATTTTGGTGTCTTTTACTCATAGATTCTGCTCACTGCTGTACTAGCTGTCTTGGCATCGGGCTGCTATGCTGTTGCTGCTGGCCCTGATAATAAGTCTTATCCACCAGAACCAGAACAATAAAAGCTGGAACTGGTTTTTGAAATAAAAATGTATATTCAAATATACAAATCATAATGCAGAAATAAGTTTTGATCTGGTCAAGATTTTTATTTTGGATACTAAAACCAAGCCACAAGGCGTTCAAAAATTGTTAAGAAATATAGACTATTGGCCAGTGTACCTACAGATCGAACCAACAGAGATAAAAAATATCAAATCAAAAGACCATCGAGCGATATACGTTATACGATTACGATACAGTGATCATCACCGATGCACGAGATCTGGTCGCATTCTTGATGCCCAAAGAGTTTCTAAACCGGTAGTTTCTCGCATTTATGAATCTATCAGTGGTGCACAAAGCACCAAGAGCCTACTTATATACTCTAAATATTTTCTTCGTTTGGTGGAGTTCATATTGATGCGCAGGGATGATCGCCATGACAACGTGGGCACTGTTCAGGGCGAACAGACAGTCGAAATGAAACGTATTTTTTCGATCCATCTAAGTCAATATCGCATAGCGAGATCCTCTTGGGCGCTACTAAGACGATCAAATCCATCACTCAAATAAGTACAACAATATAACGTTAACCTATAAACTCACTCAGGACCAGTTTATAGCCCTGGCCACGCGGATCGTTTGGATATGAATGCATAGACGGGCATACCACGTGATTGACATAGAGATGAATCGCTTGCTTTGCTCTTGAAGTTCACGCCAGCAGAGAAAAGCATGCTTTACGGGCGCCGGAAAAAGATTGTTAACTGTCTCTTACAAGTGTCGAGGATCGCTCCATACTATGGATAGGCGAGCGCAAATATCGCAGCACAGATCTACGCATTGCCAAACTTGAGCTGTAGTATATCATGTCCAATCAACAGCGCATCTGGTTGACGTAGCTCGCGCAATGATAGGGTACCCAAAGAAACTCTGCAACATAGTCCTCAACCTCAACTCGAGAATGATTCGTATCACATATTGCGACAGCCCCATCTGGAAGTACCCAACATTAACGAGTTGAAAGTACGAAAAATGTCCGAGCTCTATGAACACCTCCTAGGTCTTCATCGCATCGACCGCCTCATTTTCGCATATGTGGACGTGAACATTTTCGAAAAATATTTTAAAGCCGTTACCAAGCATCGATAGGAATGATATACTAGCAATCTGATCCTCAGACTCACTTCGGTCTCCCGTCAAGAGCAGTAAACTGAAGGCGAACGTCATAAGTGGATATATTTATATGTTTGCAATCATGATCCAAACAAAATTTATTATATATTAGTTAAACAAAATTATTGATTTATTTTTGCTAATTCTAATATGTTCGGAATATCCTTGACTATATCAATGTATCACTTCACGGACTAATAGAAAATACAGTCTTGTACTTCTTATAGTAGCATATATGCAAACTCCGCTAATAAATTATATTTTAAGCAAAGCAAAATACAATTATAAATTTTCATTGATTCATTAATTGTAAAACTGTAGAAGATTAAGCATTTCCCGACTTATACACCCCAAGAAGTATACAATTTTTTTTTTGTAATCCGTATTAACAGTATACAGAAACACGACTTTCATTTTTTCAATAGATAGAAACAAGCTTTCAAAAGAAAAAATTTTTAGTATCAATTATTCTGTTATACCATTACAATTATTTATGTCGAAATGATGCCCAACAAATGATGCGACTGTCGATACATATAATCTAATGTTAATATATTACTCTATTTCATGATATACATACATACATATGTATATGAACTCTAATATGGGAGTGGCCAAGCAGAAATTTTGATCTTAAATCTCATACCATCTTAAAGTTTACTAATCCTGTGCCTCTGATCGTTTGATCAACCAAAACCAAGTGAGAAAACTCTAGTCGAGACTGCTCGAGCACGAAATCCCCTGAACTCTTCTAAGAACTGATATTTCAATAATTATTCGCGCCTTTCTGCATACACAAGAAACATGCACGCATAAACACGCATGAACTACAGTGTGGGCTTACTATGGAAACTTAATTGTTTAATAACTTTTCTTGTGGATGGACTATCTTCAGATTATAAATATATTATAGATATGCATGTATTTGCCAAAGCACAAGTCTCTAGTATTTGAAATACTCATTTTACAAATATGTGGGTGAGGGGATGAATTAGGGGCGGGGCGTAAATTTTGACAAAAATCAAAATTCCATAAAGTACCAAATTCCATAAATCTACATTAAAAATTTGGTGACTCTAGCTTTAAAGATGTAGGAGATATAAATTTATTACTGGTTTTCAATTATGCTTTTAATTGATACCAAAATTACGGGGCAAATTATCAATTTTTAAAGCAAAACTCGATATCCGCGTGGTATACACAGACCTAGGAAAAAAATTTATATCTTCTGAGACCGGCGCGTTCAAACATACGGACAGACGAACGGACACACAAACGGACAGGGATAAATCGACTCAGCTCGTCGCCTTGATCAAGAATATATGTACTTTGTGGGGTCTGCCACGCCTGATTTCCCATTCCTGATCTCCCATCCTGATTTCCCATTAATATATTCTTGATCAGGGGCACGAACTGGGTCGATTTGGCCTTGACCGTCTGTCTGTCCGAAGATATAAGAAGAGATTTCAATTTTTTTAAATGTCCGTATATACAGCGCGAATATCGAGTTTATCATCAAAAATCGATAACTCATCACGTTATTTTTATCGATAAAAACGTTACCGATAATCAGTTATAAAATTATATCTTTTACATCTTTAAGATTTTAAATGTATACTTATATACACTTGCTAGAAAGACTATGCGTACAGGCCTAATGTGCGACTTTAATAGAGAATAAATATGACAAATAATAGTATTATTATATAATAACAATAACACACCTTTATCAACAATTTTTTTAAAATAATATTAAACATTTTTTTTTTTTTTTTTTTTAATATTTAAAATAAGAAAAAAACAACAAAAAATTCACTTAGAAAAAGTATGCGTACAAACTAAAAAATAACATTTTTCAATGAAAAATTTGAAAATTAATAATGAGGTTGGATACAGGGGTATTCGCTTCTTGGCCTCTTCCAACCGTTTTGGCATCGATGCCACCAATTTCCGGGTGAAATCAGCCGGAATTTCGAGACACTCCTCCATCAGAGCGTGTCCTTTGAGCGTGTCCTTTGAAGTAATTATTCGCTCTCTGATCCTGCGCTCCAAAAAATCCCATAAATTTTGTATGGGATTAAGGTCGGCCGACTGGGGAGGCGAATGAAGCTGGTGTCTATTAAGACTGTATATCTACAAAAGAAGGTATTCAACAAATAAATTTCAATGTTCCACATTGCAGCGCAGCCCAAGCGCAGCCGCTGCTAGCTGCGCAGTGTATATGTATGTGTGCATAAAGGAAGTACAGAATGATTAGAATATCAGCTTAGAGGGTTTAGGGTATCTCCTAGTCGAGCAGTCTCGACTGGAGCCTTCTTACTTGTTTGTATTTCTCTTTAACTTCCTGATTAATCTTAGCTGCAGTTAATACGAGGCTTAGCCGCACCGTCTTCAGCAATTCCCTCTTCTCTCTCTCGGTCAGCTTTGAGGGCCTCCCAGAACGTGGCTTTGACTTTACTGAGCCAGTCAAATTAAAGTTATTAACTACTCTTTGGACAGAGGAATGCGTTCTGCCAACAATTTCGCCAATTTCCCTAAAAGATTTCCCTTCATCGCTTAATTTCACGACGAGTTTCCTCAAATCGGGATCAATCTCTTTAGTTTTCCTGCCCATGACGAAATCTATCAACTTAATGACAAAATTTGGCGTAATATGATATTTAACGGTACTAAAAGCTTCACACGACGATTAAGAAAAGTGGGTTTTTAGTTTGTACGCATACTTTTTCTAAGTGAATTTTCGTTGTTTTTTTCTTATTTTAAATACATATTTAAAAAAAAAAAACTGTTTAATATTTTTTTTTTTTAAATTGTTGATAAATGTGTGTTATTAAATAGTTTCTCACTAAAAAATATAATATTGATAACAATACTATTATTTATCATATTTATTATTTATAAGTCGCGATTTAGGCCTGTGCGCATAGTTTTTCTGGTAAGTGTACATTTTATACAATTTCGGTTTTTGTTAAAGTCTACCCCCCACCCCCTCACCACTAATTAAAAGGCATAATTCAAATACTAGAGACTTGTGCTTTGGCAAGTACATGTATATCTATGTTATGATCATAATATGAAAGTTTCATGAAGTTATTAAACAATGAAGTTCTCATAGTACGCGCACACGGCAGCCCATACGTGTTTAGGCGTGGGTGCTTGTGTGCTTGTATGCGTGTGTGTGTGTATGTGTGTGTGTGTGTGTATGCGTGTGTGTGTGTGTCTTGTGTAAGCAGAAAGACGCGAAAAATGATTGAAATAGCTATTGCTCGAAAGGTTCAGGGGATCTCGTAGTCGAGCAGTCTCGACTAGAGCTTTCTTGCTTGTTTCCTTACTGACCAATTTATCATAGTTTGTAGCGATTAATCGTATGTAGAATGAAATGTTTGTCCTTGTAGTTGAATTAAAACTAAATAGTTTGGTAGTTCAATTTTCAATGAACAAATCAATAGAGTGGAACTAACTAAACTAGAATATGATTTATATTATATTATCAATATAACTTATAATATCGAAATTTTTGATTCTTTATAAAAAAAAAAAAAAACGTTAACATTTTCTAACAGAGCTTATAAAGCAATTAAAGAAAATGATTTGAAAGCATGTAGTAAAAAAAATTTATGTGTTAATTAAATATGGATTAATTAATAGTTTGCTAGCAAATTTTCTAATAGTGTAAAATGTTGATTCGTTTTCTTGCATATGTATATATTTTGCGAGTAAACAAAACAGTATCGTTCCAACACTAGACCTTTTGTATTCAAAGAACATTGAAAATATTGAACACCAATATAAGAATATTCACCCAATTCAGTGGGGAAATTCTTAAGACTCTACATAGTGTGCGAGGTGTGCTTATAAGTATTCGGGAGAAAATAATAAATGTAAGGACTTGGCCACTTTTGGAATGACTTTCCTTGCCATAGTCGAACGCGCAAGTGGAAAGAAGTTTTAGTCAGGTCAACATTGTGATATGTGATATGCTTACTCAATTTTAAGCGTCAGGTAAAACATACATATTGTAAAACATAATAGATACGGCTTGCCATGGTTAAAGAAATGCTGCCATGACTTTCAGTTACTAAAAATATATTTAACTGTCAATCAAATCAAAGCATAAAACATCAGCATTTTTGTCCGATTTTTTTCAAAAAAATTCAGCTTTTTTTAAAATATCTTCCCACTAAAAACAGTTTTTTTCACTCAACGAAAGTTGGCAGCACTAATATATAATAACAATGCTAAAAAAGTATTATATGCTTCGGTTTAGCTTTCAAATTGTAATTTGGTTATTTGATCTGATAAGTTTCTATTGAACACATACCCACACACACAGCTATTCACACACCTAACATATAACACAATAAAACACAAAATTAGAAAATAAATAAAAAGATATGAAGCGCATTTATGCCGATACTTATGTGCCGAAGTACCTTAGTGGAAAATGGTCGTGGGACAACAAATCCGACAGTCTGCGCTTTGAGCAGCACCACGATTTGGCCGATAAGAGGGAGCGCTATATCGAAACAAATGGCTATAAATTCCTGCGGACGATTAATCAGGAGGAGGAGGTAATATTTCGACAGGAATTCGTGCGCGGGGATAACACTTTCGATACTGACACAGTGGTAATCAACGATGTGCGTGACCTGGTGCTCTTCTTGTCGCCCAGCGAATTTCTGTCTGTCAAATTTATCGAGTTTATTCACAAGCCCGCTGTACACAGGTTGCTGCATGCTTTGATAATCTACTTCGAGTATTTCTTGCGGATGGTCGAATTCGTACTAATTCGACGAGATGAACTGGCCGGCAACATGGCCCAGATACAGAGTGAGCAAACGAACGATATGAAGCGCATATTCTCGATCTACTTGAGTCAGTACCGGATGCTAGTGGCTCGCAACTATAGTGCGATCCTCAAAGGCGAGGGGGATATGGCGCAGTTCTATCACATGAAAGAGATTGTTAATATTTCCGCCACCATTAAGGATAAGTACTTTCACGAGCAATTCCTGGCCGTGGCCATACAGATCGTATGGATTACCCTGCACAGACGTGCCTACTATGTGATTGAAATGGAGATGAATAGGCTATTTCGCTCAGAGCATTTCATCGTAAATAAACCGGAGTATCTGAAATTCACTCCATTGGAAGTCAGTCTGCTATATGGACGCAACAATCGCCTTGTCAACTATCGTAGCCAGGTATCCCCACTTATTCAGGAGCTTCAGCGTATACCTGAGGAAGATTTGCCTATCCTATGGATAGGTGAACGAAAGTATCGGGGCACAGACACGCGTATTGTTCAGATTGAACTGGAGTATATTGTGCCGGGGCCGCAGTTGTTTATGATCGATGTGACACACGGGATACTGGGGCATCCAAAGATTCTGTACGATACTATGCTGAACTTGAATTGGCCGGCGGTACGATTTGCCAACTTCTCCACTGAGTACGATCCGTATCAGATCGTGCGGCAGCCGTGTCTGCAACTGCCCAACATTAACGAGGACAAGATGCGCAAGATGTCCTCACACTACGATCAGTTCTTCAAAGTCTTTCGCATCTATGAGCCATTCAGCCTACAAATGCTCGCAAAGTGGGTTCGACGTGATCGATTGATCAACTTTTATCGTACTGGAGGCGTCTTGCAGGACATTTATCTGCGCTGCACAAAGGATTTAAACCAGAAAGGATATGGCCCCCCAGTGAATACCATTATTGCCAAATACTTCAAGCTTATTGCAAGGCATCGCAAGAACGCGTACGTTATCAGTGATAATCGATCCAGTATAGCTAATCTATCGATTCTGAGCATGCAAAAGGAACGCAAAAAGGCAACACAGGACGATCGTTTCTTTGAGGAATAAAGTGTTTTTGCTAATGCAACATCTTCATGTTCAATTTGAAAGTCATATTAATAACATTACATTCTAAGCAAGCGATGCTATCTATACGTATCAAATAAAAACGAACATACCAAAATCAATTCAACCAGAGTTTATCAATTATTGCGCGAATTGAATTATGAATTCTATTCCAATTTCTAATCAACACATTCCTATAACTAATCACATCACATTATATGTATGTATGTATAATAAAGTGGTTGTTTTTATTTTTTTAGGATGATCGTAGAGCACTCAATGCTGTCATGCTATATTAGCATTGTAGATATATGTATGAAGTGACAATACCGTGTCCTGTATAACTCCAATCACTTATTTTCAAACCATAAACTATATTTATAGTTCATGAAACTAGTTCAGTACCCAATTTTAAAAGGATGAACTGCATATCACTTGCATATCGATATCGTTCGCTAAGCAGTGTAAAAACACTGGTCAGTGGTAAAAATTAAGTAGTTCTAGTTCACTCGAGTAACAGAAACAGCTGTTGAAAGATTCAGTAGGTTGTGCAGGGCAGTTGCATTACTTTCAATGTTAACTTTTGTGATGTCACAGTTTGACAATTTTCAGTTTCAGCTCTGCTATCCGTTTGGTGGGCACTTAAGTAGAGATCTGAAAAGCAGTCCTAAACAACCATAATTAAGTACATATTAAAAAACTTAAACTAATCACTAATTTAAAAAAAAAAAAAAAAAAAAAACTTAGTAGATATAATAGCCTTAGCAGCAATTATGTGGCCAAAATCCATCCGGTCGAATAAAATAAAATGGTTATTAATTACAAAATCTAAAACTTATCATTAGTTCTAGTATTAATAGTAAAGTAATTGTATACTCCGATTTATGAATCTATATAGAGCTTGTAATTGGTCTGCTCGTTATACCCTGAACCCATTGAAAATGGGAGATCAGTGTATAATGGTTTTGTGAAGGGTATGAAACGGGCAGAAGGAACCCTTGCAGACCTCATACAGTATATACATATATTCTTGATCAGGCCGACGAGCTGAGTAGTTATAGCCCTGTCCGTACGTATGAACGCCTAGAGCTGAAACTCGTGTATACCATACGCAGTAAGAGTTTATCATATTTCTTCTATAACTCATCCAATTTCATTTTTATCGACAATAATCGAATGGACATACATTTGATTATTATGAGCACGAGATAGCAACAACAAATAAATTCTCGTTTACAAAAAGAAAAGAAGTGCCTAATGATTAGAAAATCAGCTTGGAGGGCTCGGGGTAAAATAGGGTACAATATGGACGTCAAACTGTTAACTTAACAGACCACTTTGCATTACCACTCTGGTTAGTGGCATTACCTAGCATTGCTCAATCGTGCGGCTGTTATCAGGTACTTAATAAGTACGAAAACAGCTTAGTAAGTTGGCTAATCTCAATGTCTGTAGATCTCGAGCCTCGAACGGCTCCGCCGTATAATCACTTCACGCAAATTGGTGACCCTGTTCTACGGATTCGTTCGGATGAAGTTTCACCTGAACGGCTAGACAGCAAGGAAATCCATGGCATTGTGGATCAGATGGTAAAAGTGCTCCGGCACTATGACTGCGTGGGCGTTGCAGCACCCCAATTGGGTGTTCCACTGCGAATTATTGCAATGGAGTTCCGTGAGGAAAAGCGTGAACAGTTTACGCCCGAAGTGTACCTGCAACGAAAGATGTCTACTTTACCACTCAGCGTAAGTTAAAACCCCACACATGTATTAATAAATAATAATTTATCTTTTAAGGTTTTTATCAATCCAAAAATAGAGATAATTGGCGATATGCAGCACACTCAGCCCGAAGGCTGTATGAGCGTTCGCGGCTTCTCCGCCCGAGTGGCTCGATACGATCGCGTACGAGTCACCGGCATTGGAATGCTTGGAACACCTGACGAACTGGAACTTGTTGGATGGAGCGCGCGCATAGCGCAACATGAAATGGATCATTTAAATGGCATAATTTACATTGACCGAATGGACGTTTCGAGCTTTACATGCAACACATGGGCACGGATTAATTCAAATGGTGGACGTGACGTCATAACGTTTGATAAGTAATTACTTTGAACCAATTTCTGCATTTGAATTCAACTGTTGCTTCGCGCCTAAATTCCGAGCAGATGCTGATTACAAACTATCGCAAGAATGGCACTGTTAACTATCGATTAATGTATGGCAGCCCTGTCTGAAATGTACTTTCGTATTCTTAACTTTCGTTACAAATAAATAAATAAAGGCAGAATCGTAACTATTATAGTTGTTTTGTTATTATTAAAGTATTTATTTTAGCTAATGAATAAAAGGTCAAGCTAATTTTAAAGTAGCGAGATATTAAGAAATCTCTTTGTAAGGGTATAAGCAAGTAGACTTGACTTTTTATTGCAGTGTTACGCGTACGCCGGCAAGTGGCCAAAAATGCTGGAACAGCTACATAAGTTTTGTCGACTGCACGCGAGGCAACTCAGCACCAGCCCTGCAGTCTCTCAATCCTTCAGGAAGTGGTACCAACAGCTGTGGACTACCGAGCGCACAAATTTACCGCCCTACAGCCACTTCACACAGATCGGAGATCCCGTGTTGCGGGACAGAGCGGCAGAAGTCCCAGTGGAATGTGTGGACAGCAAAGAGATTCGTGCGATAGTGGACCGCATGGTGCACGTGCTACGCAAGTATGACTGTGTGGGCATTGCTGCACCTCAAATTGGCGTCTCCCTGCGAATAATTGCCATGGAGTTTAGGCGTGGCATTAAAAAGGAGCTTCCCGAAGCGATGTACAGGGCGCGACAAATGTCCGAGCTGCCACTGACTGTAACTTGAAGTAATAATATGCATACATATATAATATTAACTAATCATTCTCGGCTGTTCGCCCAGGTATTCATCAATCCAAGACTGAGTGTCACGAACTATACCAAACACAAGCATCCGGAGGGTTGCATGAGCGTTCGCGGATTCTCAGCGGAAGTGGAGCGTTATGAAGCCGTGAAACTGTCCGGGCTGGACAGACAAGGAGAAAACCTCTCGTTGGAACTTAGTGGCTGGAACGCGCGCATTGCCCAGCATGAAATGGATCATTTGGATGGCAAACTGTATACGGATCACATGGACCGTTCCACATTCACGTGCACCTGCTGGGAAACGGTGAATACGAAGTCTGGCCGTGTGGAAATCCCCTTTTACAAATAATATCTACACGCTGTTCCCTCTAGTTATTGTTGCTAAAAATTTATTCATTGAAACGGAACTGTGTTTGTTGGCAACTGTTTCTCTGTTCATTTCTCTGCGCTCATATACATTCTCAGATTGTGATTGGCCGTGCCGAGGGCAGTCTTGGCTTTGAAGTACTCGGGACTGTCCCACAGGTCACGCTTGTCCATCATGTACGTAAAGAGTTCATTGTATTCACGCTGTAGCAGCTTATGGGTGCCGGCGACCTTTCTGCGCAGTTCGTCGATTGCTTGGGCCAAATTTTCGCGGGCAGCATCAAAAACGGCTTCTGCCGTGGGCTCGTCCAAGGCAGGCGAGTCTGTTGTCTTGGGCCCCTCGTGCTGCAGTGTACGCAAGTGCATGCGCTGGTTCTGCCAGTCGTCCCACTGTAGCTGCAACAACTTGCCCAAATAGTTGAGAACGGCAGTCCGCAGGATAAACTGCCGTATACCTGGATGGGCAACGTTGCGCACACGCACTCGGAACATCCTCAAACAGTTGCTCAACTCTCTGATTCCTAATGTCAAGTTACATTGAATGTCGTTACTACAGACCCGGCTGCTTAAATAAATAAATCCCTATGGATAATATTCTATGTGGAATAATTTTGATAACTATATCGATCATACATAGTCAGATGTTTCGTTTGTATACTTCAAGTTGAATAGTATCTGTTGGGGCTATAAGTTGAAGAACAGATTTCCAACCGTGCTCGTGCCTTTCTCCTCTCTTGTTATAATTCATGTATTCAGAAGGAAGTTCTCCATTTAGGGCGTATGAATATAGAAAATTGTGATAAGCTCAAAGCTATGCCTACGGCTTCAGTAGCCACTACTGTAAGTTATTTTTAATATTGTATAAGACCCAAGCAACTTACCTCACTAGAAAATGTAGACATATACATTAAAAGGGGAAAAGTATGAGATAATTACGGGTAATCAAACTAGATAAAAACGAACCTTTAAAGAGCTCTGCAATGTCTTAAAAGTAAATGAATTAAGAGGAAATGTATTAATCTAAAAAGAAAACCTTATAACCTATAGTTCGTATAAAAACCAAAAAAAAAAAAATGTAATGGGACAGCAGCTCTAGTTATACGTATTTTAGTTTTTCTTTTCTGAGGCGATATATCTTTGTCTACATTGTACTAAAAGACTTATATGGGTCTTGAAATATGCACAATACCGCGCATATGTACATATAGGGTTAGTGGTATATTAAAGTAATTCAATTATTACTATTCACGATTTAATCTTATCGACTTTCATTGGAATTGATAGACCTCAAGAAGTATATATGCATATGTTTGTTATCCGTATGAACAATAGATCCAGAAAATCCAAGGGCAATTTGAAAACTGTTAGAGCTGGAAGTTTCAGGTTTGCTGTGTATATCTATGTAGATCCACACAGATACAAAGATTTTGTTAGAGCACTCTTGTTTTTATATATAATTTTTAGACAGAATAGTTATTTACATCGATTTTTAAAACTTAGATTAACGGGTGTCATAATCAGTGTCATAAATCAATCTATCGACTCTTAAAACAATCCTTCGATCTGTCCCGTCTCGGTGTTCAGATCGATGTCATAGATGGCTGGACGAGTGGACAGTCCGGGCATTTTGGTTATATCGCCACACATGGCAACCACAAATCCAGCTCCGGCGGATACATAAACACTCTGCACCTTGAGGGTGAAGCCCTTGGGTGCACCTTTAATGTCGGGATCGCCAGTAACGGAGCCGGAGGTCTTCGACATGCAGATTGGAAGGGAACCAAAGCCCTGCAAAAGCAAAAACCTTTAAGCCAACTCCACAGGGACATGAATATGAATGACTTACTGCGTCGGTCAGGCGCTTGATCTGATCCTTGGCTTCCTGGCTAAGTTCCACTTGGCCCGCTCCGTACATGGTCTGCGCAATCTTGGTCATCTTATCCGCCAGAGGCAGGCTTGGTTCGTAGAGCAACTTGAATTTGTTGTCCAGCTGGCAGGCCTCGATAACAGCCTCGGCCAGAGGAACGGCGCCGGCACCACCGTCTGCCCAGTGGGTGGAAACCACGGCAGCAAAGGCGCCCGCCTGCAAGGCGGCCTTCCTCAAGAGCTCATGCTCAGCCGGAGTGTCAGCCACGTGGGCATTGATGCTCACCACAACGGGCATGCCGAACGAGCATCCATTGGAGATGTGCTGCAGAAGATTGGGTAGGCCCTTCTCCAGCAGCTCCAGGTTCTCCTCTGTGTACTGTTTATTGAGAGGGGCACCTGGCGTAACTGGAGCTCCGCCGCCATGCATTTTAATAGCTCTGACCGTGGTCACCAGCACCATGGCGTCGGGCTTCCTGCCCGAGTTGCGGCACTTGATGTTGCAGAACTTCTCCATGCCAATGTCCGAGCCGAAGCCCGCCTCGGTGCACACGAAGCCCTCGCTGCCCACCAGCTTGAGGCCGATCTCATCGGCGATGATCGAGTTGCAGCCGTGAGCGATGTTGGCGAAGGGACCCGCGTGCACCAGCACTGGGGTGCCCTCCAGGGATTGCATCAGGTTTGGTTCCAGGGCATCCTTCAGCAGCACAGCCAGGGCGCCCGTTACGCCCAGATCGTCGGTAGTCACGGGCACGCCGTCCTTGTTGAAAGCCACGACCATCTCGCCCAGCCGGCACTTCATGTCCGCCAAGCTGGAGGAGAGCGCAAGCACCGCCATAATCTCACTGGCCACCGCAATGGAGAAGCGCGTCTTGCGGCACATGCCCTTCTCGCTGGGCGACTGGCCAATCGTGATCTCGCGCAGATATCTGTCGTTGATGTCCACCACGCGCTCCCACATGATGGTGTCCACATCGATATTGAGTCGCGAAAAGGCCGCGGCTTCCTCTGGGGTCAGCTGATCGGGATCCGTTTTATCAATGCCCAAACGCTTCAGGCGCCGCAGCTGAATCGGGGAGAACTTGCGCTGCCCCTTGATCCTCGGCACCAGCCGGTTGTACAGAGCCGTGTCCGATTGCGTCGCCTCGTGGAAGATGCGCGTGTCCAGTTGGGCAGCCACTAAATTGTTGGCCGCTGCCACAGCGTGAATGTCGCCCGTGAGGTGCAAGTTGAACTCCTCCATGGGTATCACCTGGGCATAGCCACCGCCCGCTGCTCCGCCCTTGATGCCGAAGGTGGGTCCCTGCGAGGGCTGGCGCAGTGCAGCGACCACATTCCGCTGCTTGTGCGCGCCCAGCGCCTGCACCAGGCCCATCAGCGTGGTCGTCTTGCCCTCGCCCAGGGGCGTGGGCGTGATGCCCGCCACAACGACATACTTGCCCACCGGTTGGTCCTTTAGGCGCTGAATCACGCCCAGCGAGATCTTGGCCTTGCGGCTGCCATACATCGACACCTCACTCGGCAGCAGTCCGATCTCCTCGGCCAGCTTCCCGATGTGCTTGGGTCGCTGCGCACGCGCGATTACGATGTCAGACGGCACGGGCCTGGCGGGTCGCAGCGGCAGCACCTGCAGCGGCCACTGGCTGCGCCTGGCACTAGCCGCTGCCCTGGTGGCCGACACCACGGTGTTCTTCATGAGCATGGCCACGGTCATGGGCCCCACGCCTCCCGGCACAGGTGTCAGATAACCCGCCACCAGCTTCGCCTGCTCGTAGTCAACGTCGCCCACCAAACGGCTGCCACTCGCTTTGGATGCGTCTGCAAGCAACAAGGATGCGGATATTTCAATTTAATTTCCAATGCCTATGCCTGCGCCTATATCTATGCTGCCTACGTCAGACTTACAGCAGTTGTTGCTTGACTGCCGCAGCCCAGAGAAATCTGTTTACTAAGCCTTAAAAAAAAATTCAGAGCGTGGAAAACCACCAGCCGAGCTGCTTATCAGGGTCGCAGCTGAGATCAAACGGGGCGATAACCAAGGGAAGCACTTGAAACTCAGCGAGAGATTGAACACGGCAAATAAGAGTACTCCTTACCGACTAGAAGATACCCTATACACTCATTTGAAGAACTTACCCAAAGAGAAGAATTTTCAAAATAGGTCTTTACCTCACATGTCGGATTCTTCACATATTAATAGTCTTCCAAATCCTATTCAAAGTAATTTCTAGCCGAGAGAGCCCACTTCTAGAGAGGAGATATCTTGAACTCCTTTGAAAACCCATTTCACAGAAAAAATCAAAAAATCAAAACATGTTTTATCAGTTTTCAAAATCCTATTCCAGATTTAGATTGGCCTTATTTAATTATGAATAAAAGATGTTCCAGCCGGTAGAGGCCAATCAGCATTTCCAAAAATAATATTAATCAGAATGTGCGCGAAATAGTGAAGTCATGCTTATGCATGTACGTCCTACTTATGATTTTGATCTACATTAAGTAAATTTCATTATAGCTCAACCATGAAATATGAACTATGAAATACCCCTAGCCACAACTAATGAATGAGACCTGAGCTTACGCAGAGCTGACGGACATGACTCGATACATAGGTAGACATCAACTTTAAGCGTCTGCCGAAACTCATTCAATTTGTAATAATACATATATTGTTATAGTACCTACATATTGTAGGCTACGAGATCCAAAAGGCAGTAATTAAGTCTATTACAGGCAGGATAGACTGACATGTCAATGCGGACTGGTAAAATTCCCGCCTTAATATAGCATATATATTCTTAATGATCCCATCTTAATTAAGAGTATAGGCTTTAGCAATTTCTCTTTCTCCCATTTTCAGTTAAGTCAAAAAATGTATGGTTCGCCCTGTCAGCTCACCTGGCTTCACATTGATGCCACAATCGATGACCACTGCGCCGGGCTTTATCCAGCTGCCTTTGACCATCTCGGGCACTCCGATGCCCACCAGCAGAATATCAGCGCTACGCGTGATCTCCTCCAGGTTGCGTGTTTTCGAGTGGCAAACGGTGACCGTCGCATTCGCCCACTTGAGCAGCTCGGCAGCTGGCGTGCCCACGATCTTGCTGCGACCGAGGACAACGGCTCGAGCGCCGGCGATCTCCACTCCGGTGCTGCGGATTAGCTCGAGGCAGCCCCACGGCGTGCAGGGCAGAAAGCCATTGAGATCGCCCACGGCGAGGCGACCCTCATTCACTGTGTGCAGTCCATCCACATCCTTGGCTGGGGAGACGGCGTCTGTAATCCGGTGCGCATCGATGGCCGTCTCGCAGTCCAAAGGCATCTGAACAATAATGCCGTGCACCTGAGGATCGGCATTAAGGTCGCTCAGCTGTGGGAACACATGACGCGCGATTGATTAGAAACAGCCGAGGTGTTAATTACTTGATAGCAATTCAATTAGGCGCTCTATGGGTAGGGTGTGATCATTTTCTTATTAAATATGTAACACATTGAAGGTAAACATTCGTTTGCTTATATAGTTTGTACAAAAACTAAACATAATTGAACAAAAACAAAACCTTTTGATCAACAGAATCTGTCACACACTCTGATTTATTTAAGATGTCATTATTTAATTATTTTTGTATTGCGAATATACGGGAAAAATTAAATATGTATTTATTTTATTTATTTATTTA